CCCCTGGTCCTGCGTCCACAGTCAGGCCCAGGAGAACCCCCAGGTCCCGCGTCCACAGTCAGGCCCAGTTTCTGTGGTTTTAGCTTCAGGCTCCAGTTGGACCATGGACCCAGTAAAGACAGATGGCCTGTTTAGAGCCCAGAAACACAAATATATCAGAAACTATCAGAACAGTTCCAGACTGTAGACGGTTCCAGCTACAGCTGGAGTACAACCAGAAATTCTGAGCAGGTCTGGACCCGGTCTGGTTGTGAGGAACAGCAGCTGATCTCAGATCAGTTTTATTATGGAGACTTTAGCATGTTTTGATCAGTTTTACTGAAATCTGCAGAGAGCTCATTGAACAGTCTGATGGTTACAAGCTGTTTTCCCTGAATCGGAACATCTCTCCAAGGCCTGTGTGGGGCCCTGAGCAGATCACCCCCCAGTTATCTTTATTTATTAGGAAGGATTCAAATATCTTACCACTTTATTTATAGAGCACTTAAAACAGCGACAAGGCCAACCAAAGTGCTGTACAGACAGAACAACAGGTAACACAAAGCAAAATACTAAATGACGTAAATCATAAATATAGACATAAAAACGATGCAGATAGTGACGACTAACCAGCGTGGAGCAGGATTGTGAACCATATGTTTTAAAACATTTATTTTTTAACCCTCTAACTGCTGTCAGGGGGCTCAGAGCAGATCAGCAGGAGGTCCTACATCCAGGATTTACACAGTAGACCTCTGAATGTGCTTTCAGCTCCCTCACAACATTAATATCTGTATTTAGTGCTCGCTAATCAAATAGTTGGGTACTAATGTGATCAGAACCGTTAAATTATAAAGCAGACACAGATTGTATCTTCAGATTTGTTTCTGATTTCTACAGATATTTATATTTTTGTTGTGCGTGTTAAAAGTTCCTGCACTATAGAAAGTTTTTTCTGTGCAGTTAGAATAACGAGTAGTTTTCTTAAATTTTCATAAACCTGACCACGTTTCAACATTTAAACGTCAAACTGCATCAGAGGCAGTTTTAGGGTTGACGTGATGAGGAACCTTCAGGGGGAAACCTCAGATCTGAGTCAGATCCTGCAGTGAGTTTCTCCTCCGGGGGGGGGGGGGGGTTAGGCCACGTGTCCTCCCCACCCCCTGCTTGAAAGACTCCACTTACATAGTCACATTTATAAAGTGGAGTCTTCCTGGGGACACCTGAAATCCATCAGAACTCCGCCTCCTGTCCCACCACGACCAGGTGACTCCCCATCGAGTTCACACAACAGGAAGTGAGCTTCATGTGTTGCGTTCAGGAGAGTTTTCTCTTCTTTGGTTTCAAAGACTACATCTACTGGCAGGGTGAAACCGCTCGGCTTCTAGCTCACTTCTCCAGTAGAAGAAACATGGTGCATGTTTCAGGATGACATACCTGATGGTTGTATGATCTTCCTCCTTCAGTGGTGGATCTCCTGTACTGGCGTGACGTGAAGACGACAGGCGTGGTGTTCGGAGCCTCCTTGCTGCTGCTGCTCTCCCTGACGGTGTGCAGCATCGTGAGCGTCAGTTCCTACATCGGCCTGGCTCTGCTCTCCGTCACCATCTGCTTCAGGATATACAAAGGAATCCTGCAGGCCATCCAGAAGTCTGATGAAGGACACCCATTCAAGTGAGTACCACGTGGGCCGCTGCAGACGTGTTCCAGGTGATGATGGGCTTTTATTTTATTTTACTTGTCCTTGGGTGGACTCCAAAACACACCTGATTAGATAAATTGTAACCAGGTTAATACCAGGACATGGTGAACCTTCACAGACGTCGGACACGTCCATCACACCCAGCTGCCTGTCTCATCCTGAGGTGCACTCCGATTCTTTACCAACTCCCACAACAGAGAGGAAGTAGAAGCCGGTGATGACTGTACAGCCCTCGTCACAAATGTTCATCACAGACATAAAGCCCATAGTGTTCACACTACGTCCAGTTTCATCGATGGTTGTTGGAAGACGGAGAGAAGCAGGAAGTACAGATGAGAGCAAATTAGTTTGTTTTAAAGAACGACTTTGGTTCAAATGAATTCTTTTAAGGAACAAAATAATAAATTTGACCTTGGCAGTCAGAATGGTTCTAGAACAGATTAAAACTAATTTGAACATTAGAACATGTTAAACCGAAGAGTGTCTGTAGTTGGTGTCACCGCAGGAGCTATTGATGAAAGAGAAAGAAGAGCAGAGGTCATAGAAACTGGACCAGGAAGTGGGAGAGATTAGTGAGGGTGAAGTCCAGAAAGCTCTGAAAAGAATGAAGGGGAAGGCAATAGGACCTGATGACATCAGTGGAGGTTCGGAAATGTCTTGAAGAGATGGCAGTGAAGTTTATGACTCAAATATTCAATGACATATTTGAAGGTGAGAATTGTGCTGGTGACCATTTTTAAGAACAAGGGTGATGGACATAGTTGTAGCAACCACAGGGGAATTAAGTTGATGAGTCACACAATGAAGATCTGGGAGAGTTGTGGAAGCAAGACTTATGAGAGGTGACTCTCTTTGAGCTGCAGTATGATTTCATGGCAAGACAGAGCACCACAGGTGTCTTCTTTGCTTTGAAGATGCTGATGAAGTACAGAGAGGGTCAGAAAGAACTCTCTTGTGTCTTTATGGATTTAGAAAAAACACATGACATTCATTCATTAATTCAACCTTTACAGGCTAGCCTCGAGGACTCGTTTACAAACCGGATTCCAAAAAAGTTGGGACACTAAACAAATTATGAATAAAAACTGAATGCAATGATGTGGAGATGGAAAATGTCTATTTTATTCATAATATAACATAGATGACAGATCAAAAGTTTAATCTGTGTAAATGTAACATTTTAAAGGAAAAATATGTTGATTCAAAATTTCAGTGTCAACAAATCCTAAAAAAGTTGGAACAAGTAGCAATAAGTGGCTGGAAAAAGGAAATTGAGCATATAACGAACAGCTGGAAGACCAATTAACACTAATTAGGTCAATTGACAACATGATTGGGTATAAAAAGAGCTTCTCAGAGTGTCAGTGTCTCTCAGAAGCCAAGATGGTAAGAGGATCACCAATTCCAGCATTGTTGCGCAGAAAGATAGTGCAGCAATACCAGAATGGAGTTACCCAGCGTAAAATAGCAAAGACTTAAGTTATCATCACCAACCGTGCCTAACATCATCAAAAGATTCAGAGAATCTGGAACAATCGCTGTGCGTAAGGGTCAAGGCCGTAAAACTCTACTGGATGCTCGTGATCTCAGGGCCCTTAAATGTCACTGCACCTCAAACAGGAATGCCACTGTCAAGGAAATAACAGAATGGGCTCAGGAATACTTCCAGAAAGCATTGTCAGTGAACACAATCCACCGTGCCATCCGCCGTTGCCAGCTGAAACTCTACAGTGCAAAGAGGAAGCCATTTCTAAGCAAGCTCCACGAGCTCAGACGTTTGCACTGAGCCAGGGGTCATTTAAAATGGAGTGTGACAAAATGGAAGACTGTTCTGTGGTCGGATGAGTCACGATTTGAAGTTCTTTGTGGAACACTGGGACGCCATGTCATCCAGATCAGAGAGGACAAGGATAGCCCAAGTTGTTATCAACGCTCCGTTCAGAAGCCTGCATCACTGATGGTATGGGGTTGCATGAGCACTTGTGGCATAGGCAACTTGCATGTCTGGAAAGGCATCATTAATGCAGAGAACTATGTTCAGGTTCTAGAACAACATATGTTCCCATCTAGACGTCATCTCTTTCAGGGAAGACCCTGCATTTTTCAACACGATAATGCCAGACCACATTCTGCAGCAATCACAACATCATGGCTACGTAGGAGAAGGATCCGGGTACTGAAATGGCCAGCCTGCAGTCCAGATCTTTCACCTATAGAGAACATTTGGCGCATCATAAAGAGGAAGGTGCGACAAAGAAGGCCCAAGACGATTGAACAGTTAGAGGCCTGTATTAGACATGAATGGGAGAGCATTCCTATTTCTAAACTTGAGAAAGTGGTCTCCTCTGTCCCCAGACGTCTGTTGACTGTTGTAAGAAGGGGGGATGCCACACAGTGGTAAAAATGGACTTGTCCCAACTTTTTTGGGATTTGTTGACGCCACAAAATTTGGAAACAACAGATTTTTCCCTTAAAATGATACATTCTCTCAGCTTAAACTTTTGATCTGTGATTTGTGTTCTATTCTGAATAAAATATTAGATGTTGGCACCTCCACATCATTGCATTCAGTTTTTATTCACAATTTGTTTAGTGTCCCAACTTTTTTTGGAATCCGGTTAGTACAAGAGAAACCCGATTTCAACAAAGAATGTGGACAACAATAGACTAGGGATGCGGCCGATCCAGTATCGGCCTCCGATACCAGCATAATTTACGTATCGGATTTTTCCGATCCACGTGCCGATATTTCCGATCCATGATGTCTGTGGTTGCGCAGCACGTTGGCTTCAAACTATGTAATGGATTTCCTGAACAGCGGCGTGTCTCATGAACCCAGAGTAATAAGACCTGCCTCACATTCAGGAAATCCAGTTCATAGTTTGCAGCCAGCTACAACGTGAGGACTGAGTTAGCATCACTGTTGCTAACAGCTAACAAACTTTTCATCTAAACATGTTCGCTGTGTGGAATTATTTTACACTAAACACCACAAAACAAGACGGCATCGTGCAATGTCTGCAGAGCCATAGCGCCACATTAAACTGCTGTAAAGTTAGTTTTACGATGGACATTCGAGCTCCGTGGCTTCAGCGGGGCGCTGCTCTTTGCTCAACCCACAACAGGTGACTCGACCCCGGCCAGCCGCGCCCAATCTGCCCCGCTCAGTCTGCCCGTCTCTGAGGAGGGACAGACTGAGTGCAGCTGCCCCAAATCAGGCTGCCTGCTTCGGATTGAACAAGAAAAACACATCGCTGAAACCACGGAGCTCAAATGTTTACAGAGAAGTTGCTAAACTTCATAATTAATGTCCAACTCCTATCAGTTGTAGAAAACGAAGGATTTCACAGTTTGATATTTGCAGCCAAGATATAGTTTACCCTCCAGGAGATATTTATCAGTACAACAATCATAAAAAAACATGTGATTTGAAAATTATATATATTAAAAACATAAACAGCTACATTATAAAGTGATGTAAAATACTAAAAACAGGAACTTGTCTGTTGGTTTATGCCATGAACTTAGCAGATGTTTAAAGCCATTTAACATTTAAAAGAAACAATTTAAAAAAATCATCAAAAACAAAATATTGAATGAAAAGGGTGCAGAAAGAAGAAAAAAATCTTATCTGCCCCTTATTTAAAAAAATATAAAATAACTTTAAACAATCACTTAAATGTATCACTTTAATATCCACTTTAAAGCTAGGAATAAACAGAAACATGTTTTGTGTTAGAATTTAATTCTTACTTTAAAACTTATCCAAAATTAATAAAACTTACCTCAAGTTGCCTTTGTCCTGAGAGCGCACGCTGTAGCTGCACTCACGCAGAGACATGTAGGAGGAGATGTATGGAGGCAGCAGACCAAGAAGTGATTTAAAGATGAAAATGTACCAGTGAGAGAGTCTGCATGAAGTTAATGAAATTTACAAGAGGGGCCTGTTCCAGACAGAACATATAAAGTAAAGACAACAAAACAGTAGACAGGAGGACATGTTAGGGTGCATTCACACCAGCCCCGTTTAGTCCACTTTAATCGAACTCTAGCTCGTTTTCCTAGAAAGTCCGGTTCGTTTAGGGAGGTGTGAACGCGCCATCAAACTCTGTCACGGAACAAAAAGGTGAACTCTGGCCCGGGCTAAAACCTAGGTCTTGGTCCAGTAGAAGAGAACTCCAGCGCGGTTCCAGAACAGTGTGAATGTAAACAGACCGAGCCCCGCTCCTCAGGGTAAACAAACACGCATTTCTCTGACCTCATATGGAGCAGTCAGCTGCCTTGTGTGGAAAAACAATATTCTCCATGGTCTTCTGTCTCATCTTCTGCTCATGCTAAGTCCATTTTGGAAAAATGACAAAATATAACTCCTAAAACTTGATGCCACTCCGTTTTTACTTTTATTTCCAGAAGAAGAAGACGTGTCTTCAGAGGTTTTTGTGTCTTTCTTTCTGTAGTTCTTGGTGCAGCGCCCCCACAGGCGAGCTGGGAAGTTTGCATGTTCTCAGAGTCAGAGTTTCTTTAGTCATTCGCACCTCATGTGGTACATGTGGTGGAGCGAAATTATGTACACAGGGTCCCAGTTACATCCAACAATAAAAAGTATAAGAAAAACAGTAATAACATCTAAGATATGAACTAAGAAAAACATCAACTAAATATGCACTAATAACATAAAACATTGAACATCAGCACAAACATGAACATGAGTCTGTGAGCAGATGTGCACGCATGAACACATCAACATTGAAACAGATCAGCAGCAACATGAAACAGATCAGCAGCAACATGATGTGATTTTTCACAGTGATTATTCTAGTTAGAGATTCATGAGTCTAACAGCCTCAGGGTAGAAGCTGTTCCTCAGTCTAGTGGTTCTACACTTAATGCTCCTTAACCTCCTTCCTGAGGGGAGTGGGGCAAAAAGTGTGTGTGCTGGGTGAGTGGGGTCCTTCATGATGCAGGTGGCCCTCTTCCTGCATCTGGAGGTGTAGATGTCTGTGATGGTGGGGAGGCTGATTCCAACAGATTTCTGTGCAGCCTTCACCACTCTCTGCAAAGCTTTTCTTTCTGCAGCTGTGCAGCCTCGATGCCACACATTGATGCTCGAGCACAGGATGCTCTCCACTGCACACCTGTAGAAGGAGGTGAGGACTGAGCTTCCCAGACCAGCTCGCCTCAGCCGTCTGAGGAAGTAGAGTCTCTGATGAGCTTTCTTGATCAGGCTGGTGGTGTTGTTGCTCCAGCTGAGGTTGTCATTCATGTGTACACCCAAGTACTTGTAGCTGGAGACCACTTCCACCGCAGATCCTCTTATGTTCAGGGGGGTAGGTGTTTTTGTTCCTTCTGAAGTCCACAATCATCTCCTTTGTCTTCTTCACATTGATGTGAAGGTTATTCTCTCTGCACCAGCTCTCCAGGTGTTCCACCTCCTGCCTGTAGCTGGACTCATCATTGTTTGTGATGCACCCCACCACCGCTGTATCATCTGCAAACTTTACAATGTGACAGCCTGGATGGGTAGCTGCACAATCATACGTGAGCAGAGTAAACAGGAGGGGGCTCAACACACATCTCTGAGGAGAGCCAGTGCTGAGGGTTATGGTGGAGGAGGAGAGGTTGTGGATCCTCACTAACTGTGGTCTGTTTGTTAAAAAGTCTAGTACCCAGTTGCAAATGGAGGGGCTTAGTCCTAGTGTGGATAGTTTGTCCATCAGGGTTTGGGGGATCATGGTGTTGAAGGCGGATGTGAAGTCCACAAAGAGCATACGGACGTAAGAGTTTTTCTGCTCCAGGTGGTTGAGTGCAGTGTGGACCACAGAGGAGATGGCATCCTCTGTTGATCGGTTCTCACGGTATGCGTACTGATGAGGGTCCTCGTTGATGTTGATGGTTGTTTTGATGTGAGTCATGACCAGTTTTTCAAAGCATTTAGCGACTATCGGGGTGAGGGCCACTGGCTGATAGTCATTCAGACCAGTCACTGTAGTGCTTTTTGGGACTGGGATGATGGTGGCAGTCTTCAGGCAGGTGGGAACTGTCTCCAGGGTAAGTGAGGTGTTAAAGATGTCTGCCAGCACCTGAGTTCTGAATTCTCTTTGTGCTGCATGGGTTTCCTCTCACAGACCAACAACATACATGTTTGACTGATTGATTGGTAACTCTAAATTGTCCCTAGGTGTGAGTGAGAGAGTGAATGGCTGTTTGTCTCTGTGTCCCTGTGATGGACTCGAGACCTGTCCAGGGTGTCCCCCGCCTCTCACGCAGTAATGGCTGGACATGGGCACCAGTGACCCAAAAAGGAGGAAGTGGGTAAAGATAATGGCTCTCACGTTCCTTCAGTTCCAAGTCAGGGAAATGATCTGAAACAATTTAATTACCCATTTTAAGTTTGTCCACTTGCAAAGAAATAAGATTACAGTATTAGAAGTTAACATTAAATGATTAAGTTAACATTAGGGTGTTCTGGTTCTGGTGTCACAGCTCATGAAGGGTTAATGATTCAATCCAGCTCGGAGTTTCAGGGCTTACCCAGAGACGGAACTGAATCCTGAACCAGGTCCACAACTTTGCTCTTCTCCTCCCTTCAGGCAGTACCTGGACCAGGAGGTGGCGCTGTCCGAGGACGTGGTCCACAAGTACAGTGACGTGGTTCTGGAGAAGCTCAACAAGATCATCGGTGAACTGAGGCGCCTGTTCCTGGTCGAGGACCTAGTCGATTCCATCAAGGTGAGAACTGGATGGGACCGCAGGTCATGAACGAGGCCACAGAACCGCACACTGTTCCAGTGGGTCCAGATCTCTCCTGGAGCATCATGGGATGTCCTGATAGTTCTGGCTCGGATATCTGGCAGCAGGTCTTAAACAGGTCTGGATCAGTTTTCAGTCCTGTTTGTTTTCCTGTTCTGTCAGAACTCCAGACTCAGCTCTTTAGTTGGCTCTGTAGAAACTGGACCGGTCCTTCATCGTGACCCATCAGGGAGACGTTGGTCACTAATTTAAAGAAGGATCAGCAGGTTTGTGTTGATGTGGAACAGTCTGACCCCCCCTCTCCTCCATGTCTGCAGTTTGCCGTGCTCATGTGGATCCTGACCTACGTGGGTGCCCTCTTCAACGGCCTCACCATCCTTATTCTGGGTGAGCAACTTTTCCCAGCATGCACTACAACTCCAGCTGATGACCCTGCAGCTGACGTAGTTTGTTTCTGTGTTTCTCCAGGTGTGGTTGGAGCGTTCAGCTGCCCCATCATCTACGAGAAACACCAGGTACGAGCCCACCTGTCTGGTGCATTGTGGGTAAAGTTAGTCCAGTGATGAGCTGCAGATTGTTGAGTTGTGATTTGTTGTTTCAGGCTCAGATCGATCATTACCTGGCTCTGGTCAACAATCAGATCAAAGACGTTGTGGAAAAGTAAGTCGACGTCCTCACGGTTCAGTTTTATCAGCTTCGGTTAAATAATCCAATAAATCCTGAACTAAAGTCGTCACCACGATGTTTCAGATTAAAGTCTACATGAGTCTTTATTGATGAAAAATATTTTGAGTGTGAACGCTTGTTTGTAATGGAAGCATTTAAAATTAATTCAAGTCAGAGAAAGAGTTTTACCTGAAAAATGTTCATGGACCTGAAATCATTCTTTGTTGTGAAATGATCAAATGTTTTAACTTTCAGACGATTTGAAGTCAAAGCAGCTGCTCAAACCTGCATTGTGTTTTATCTCGTTTGTTGGGCGATGCGTGTTTCTAACGTGAAATAAACAACTTTAATTGTAAAAGTCACTTTTTATTTGTTTTTCAGAGTTCAAGCAAAAGTTCCTGGGCTGAAACGCAAAACGGAGTGAAGGAACAGGAAGTCTGAGTTCAGCTTCAGGGAGACCTGATCAGGATGGAGGAAGGGAGGGGGTCTGATATGAAGGAGGGGGGGAGGCGTGGTGTGGTTGCAGCCCTTAGTGTTTTTGTCAGATAAATAAAACTTAACAATTCCTTTTTTTTGTTTTGTTTTTTCTTCTTCTTTTTTTTCAGAACTTTCAGTCGGCTCGCTGACGTTCGTCTCCTCCGTCGTCGTTTTGTTGAAACTGTTTCAAATGTTTGTTTCTGTGAGCCAACCGGACTCTCAAACTGCGTTTAAAGTAAACCCCGCCCCTTTTTTACCCAGTGCACAGTGGTCCGAAGCTCCTCCAGCGCAGCTGCTCGTCTAGATTATTTCAGATTATTTAAAAAAAATAAAAATTCTCGTCCCTTAAGCTTCAAGCTCGTTTTGTTTTTCTTGGTGAGCTGCTTCCAACACGTCAAACAGCGTCTTGGGGTCCTGATGGGGGTGGGGGGGTGGTAAAATCTTCTTTACTTCTGAGTAACCGTAGGTAGAAACATCAGAAAAAACATTAACCTCATAATCTTCATCTCATCACTGCTGTCTCGTAGAAACTCTGCAACGTTTACATTCATCAAAAAACACGTATTTAAAAACCAACACGTAGGTTTTAGTCGACAGAACCGTCTGTGGAGCCGACGTCTTCATGAATTTAAATCTCGATGTGACTTTGAGAAACTTTGATGCATTTGTTTGTTCTGCAAGTATAATTGTGAAAGATTTAACTTCTTCATTCAACAGTTGTGACGATTCAAAGCTCCCAGCGTGGAGTCATGTTTGTGGAATGCTTTGTGAGATGTAAACAGTTATCAATAAAGCTTGTAGGTGAAGAAACCGCCTCTGATCCATTTGTGACGAGTCAGAATAACAAAACTACGTTCCTTCAGTTCCAAGTCAGGGAAATGATCTGAAACAATTTAATTACCCATTTTAAGTTTGTCCACTTGCAAAGAAATAAGATTGCATTATTAGAAGTTAACATTAGAGAAATGATCCATGTCAGAAGCTGTGATCGTAGTCATGGAATACCAGATGAGGTGCGGTTCAACAACGGTCCACAATTCACATCAGAGCTGTTAGGAAGGTTTGCAAAGGATGTGACCTGGTCAGCTTTAGGACTGCCAGGGATCCTATCAAGAAGTCTACAGATCCTTATCTTCCTCATGGCTTAACAAGCTGCTCCTCACAAGTAGATGCTGGGGGGAGGAGGATCAAAACACCCGTTTCTGACATTCCATCACAGCTTGGCGCAAAAAGTGTTGACATGTCGAAACTAATGTTCAAATGTAACCCAGACAAAGGTGGGCTACACAAAGAACAGAAATACTGAACGGACTAGAGCAAAACTACAATCACAGACACGGTGTGTGTGACAGACCACACCTACTTTCTGGAGATGGAGCACGAGTCAAAGATGTTTTTCAGAGGAGCACAGTTGTGTCAACACTAAGCTAGGTTGGGCAGTTGTACAGTAAGCACAGGCTCCCTGCAAGGCTGCTATTTGGGCCCCCTGCTGTTCTGTCTGCTCACACATGACAGTACTGGCAGACTTGGGATCAACATCGCTGGGACAGATCAGCACCAATGACGAGTCAGCATACAGAATGGAGGTTGAGCAGTTTGTGGTGCAGGTCCCACAACCTCTGCACTCGACATGGACAAAACAAATGAGACTGATGGATTTCAGGAATTTTAGCAAACACCGTTAACCACTACATCCACGGGTCTGCTATGGAGAGGGTCAGCAGTATGAAGTTTGTGCTGACGACCACCTCGCCTCTAGTACTAGCACCAGACCGGTCAGTAGTAAAGCACAACAGTGGCTTCACCCCCTCAAGAAACTGAAGAAGACAGGTCTTCCCTGCTTATCTCAGTCTTTACTGGGTTTCCTACTGAGACTCCATTAAAAGCACCCTCAGACACAGCCTGGTTTGATAGCTATAACAGCTACAAGAAAAATCAGCTAAACAGGATTGTGAAGACTGTCAGCAGGATCATTGGTGCACCTCTACCCTTCTTCATGGAGATCTACCTTTCTATATCAGGGACCACCAACACCTCTCACCACAATTTATCTCCTGATGTCTGGTTATCAGACAGAGGCGACGTCAGACAACTGCTTTCCAGCACCTTAGGGCCTTGAGTTTATCAAGTGAAAGGCCCCATGTCTCTGCAGCTCCACTGTCCAGACAAAACACTCTTAACACCACACATAGTTCATATACATTAGACATTAATAAGTGAAAAACATCTGTGACCTTTCACAGTTCCATCAACCCCCACGCCATGGTTCATAGACTTTTATCACTTTTATCATCTCTTGCAAGTTAGGATGCTTTATGGATGTGGTAGAAAACCCGCCCAGGGCAAACAGTCCAATCAGGTGGGTAACGCCAGCATCACCTCACGCCCCTGTGTCGATGGACTTAACGACACATTCAGCATCCTCCTGGGTCATCGGTTCAAAAGAAATTTAAAAAACAAACAAAAGCCATACTCCAAACTCGTTCTCTCGGAGTTCTTTTGAGTAAAAATCATAAAATCAACAAAACATAATGGCATTATTCACCTTATCTCGCAACATTTCAGTTATTTCTGCTTTGTGAGGATAAAACTAGGCAAAAGGGCCTTCTCCTACTCCACTTCTGTTTCCTGGAATATCTTGCAAAAAGATTTGAAACTCTTGACCTCTCTTCAAACATCTGTTAAGTTCCTGGCAACAATCGATTCAGACATGTTCCTGTTTTTGTTCTTCTACACCGCCTTACATTCTTTTTTCATTCATTCAACCTTTATTTAGAAAGGTAAATCCCATTGAGCCTCGAGGACTCATTTACAAGAGAGACATGATTACAACAAATAAAGATGACATCAATGGACAACAGCGACAACAATAAACAGTTATAAAAAGTCATACAATTTTTTTTTTCTTTACAAATAGGATGGCTAAAAAAAAAAGTAACAAAAAACAGCTATATTATAAGGCAAATGTAGAAAAACTAAAAACAGGAACATGTCTGCATTGGTCCCTGCCAGGAGTCCAACAGATTCTTAAAGCCACTCTGAGAGGTCAAGGTTGAGAGCTTCAAAACTTTTTGTAAGATATTCCAGGAAACAGGAGCAGAGTAGGAGAAGGCCCTTTTGCCTAGTTCAGTCCTCACTGAGGGAACACTGCAGGTAATAATGTCCTGAGAGTGCACACTGTAGCTGCACTCACTCAGAGACATGTAGGAGGAGATGTATGAAGGCAGCAGACCAAGAAGTGATTTAAAGATGAAAATGTACCAGTGAGAGTCTGCGTGAAGTTAATGATGTCCAGTTAACCAGTGAATACAGGATGCAGTGGTGGGTACGATAATCACAGCCAGTTTTGAATCTTAGTGCACCATGATAGACAGCATCCAACATCTGCAGGGTTCTTGTAGGAGCGTTCATGTAAATAATGTCACCGTAATCAATGGAGGGAAGGAAAGTCACAGATACAAGGCGTTTTCTAGCATTCAGAGTTAGACAGGATCTGTTTCTGAAAAAGAAACCCAGTTTAACTTTCAGTTTCTTTACCAAGTTTTCCACATGGAGCTTAAAAGAGAGATGTGAATCGACCAAGATACCCAAATATTTATAGGAATCTATAAACTCAATGGGGACATCATTTGAGGATGAAATCAGAGGAAGAACTGCTGGGACCAACTTCCTATTTGAAAAAAAAGCATCCCTTTGGTTTTGTCGGCATTTAAGACAAGTTTGAGACGGAACAAATCATTCTGGATGATGTCAAATGCAGATTTCAAAAGCTGGAAAGCCTTTTCAACTGTTTTAGCTCGACAATAAACAACTGTGTCATCAGCATAGAAATGTATGGATGCATCAGGGATGTTTTACCAACATTACATATGTAGATTGTAAAGAGAGTGGGTCCTAAGACTGAGCCTTGTGGTACACCATTGTTGACTATTAAAAAACTGGAGGAAGTACCATTATGTTGAACATATTGCCTCCGGTCTGAGCGATAGTTAGAGAACCATCCAGTGGTGTGTTCTGAGAAACCGATTTCTGAGAGCTTATGACACAAGATGTTATGATCCACAGTATCAAAAGCTTTAGACAGGTCTAAGAAAAGGGCAGCACAATAATCCTTAGCATCCATTGCCTCAACAATGTCATTAAGAACCTTCAGTGAAGCAGTCGTTGAGCTGTGTTGTTTCCTGAAACCAGATTGATGACCAGGTAAGATGTTAAATGAGTCCAGGTAATTTTTGATATGAGAGTTTATCAGTTTTTCTAGAACCTTGGCTAAAATGCAGAGATTAGAGATTGATCGATAGTTGTTCAGTGAAGTGGGGTCACCTCCCTTCAGCAAAGGAAGAACAAAGGCTGTTTTCCAAGTGTCTGGTGTAGTGAGTCACGTAGGTACGTGTCACTAGTTGTAGTACAAATATATGAGATATATTTGCATACTTTTTCACGAGTTCCTCATCTTTCTGACTGTGTAATGTCGTGTATTGAATTTGACAGAAATGCGAACGAGAGACGTTATTTACCTTTGACCCACCAAAATGAATGGAGTCATTTATTTTCAGAATCAAAGTTTAACATCAAACATTTACATTAATTTGGCAAAAATGAAAATAATAACAGACAGTTTCACAAATATTGAACTTCAAATCACTCGGCGGTGATTTGAGGACTTTGCTTCAGATATTTCTAAAAATATCTGTACTGATTTATGAGAGAGAGGTGAGTTTAAGAGGAAATTGAGATTTATCTTACAGAGGAATATGTGAGGGAATTTAATCTGTTTGACCAGAAATTGCACGCTCCCATCAGGTATCTCAGCTTATCCCAGGTACACTTTAGTCGAAGAAGAAACCGTTACCTTGTTGACGATAGATCACCTCAGTAAGAATCCTTCAGACTGATATCAGCGTCTCCGTTGAGAACAGCTAAAATCCTTGGAGAGTCGTGCGTGGTTAGTTCAAAACAGAATTATAATCCCAAAACGTCTCTGGATTCTCGGCAACTCTGACTCTTCATTGTCAGCAACTCTCAGACTCTTTCAGATCTTCTCAGACTCTAACTCCAAAACTCTCCATAACTCTAGTTCTCTGGAATCTCTTGGACCGACTGCACTCCATGAATTCCCCATGAATTCTCTTCTGAACTCCTTGAGAACTAACTGCACTCTATGAATTCCCCATGAATTCTCTTCTGAACTCCTTGAGAACTAACTGCACTCTCTGAGAACCGGGAAGTCGTCACATTTTAAATGAGTTTACTTCCGAGTTTACTTCAGAGCTTTCTGATTCGTGGATGGACCAGAAAGAGGAGTGGTTTTGTGACGTAAGATGTTATCTAAGCCAAGGTCAGAGAATGAGATTGTTTTAACAACTGACAGAGAGATTATTGCAAAAAAGCAGACTTCGTGGAGTCAACTCTTGGTAATCTTCTGAAAAAGTTTAAACATGACATCTTTCTCGGTAAACATTTTAGTTGACCGAAAACCAACCTTTCACATACTTACGA